GGTAGAGGGCACTCCTGCTCCAGAACAGTTACACAGCCGTGGATGCAGCCCTGCCCAGCAGGTTTCCACAGAACCTGCAAATCCTCACCCACCACAGCGCGCGTGCGTGCAGGCCCAGGCTCTGCTCTCTGCCTTGTCCACGGTTGAGCATGCGTGGGGGGGCTCACCTTTGCACTTTGTGTTATCAACCTTACAAAGGCAGAGATAAAGATGAGGAGATGTATTACTCTGTTAACTAGATTCATTCAAAAGTTCCTTTATTTAGTGACACATTGTTTCTAAGCCTTTAAAGGGGAAAATGAATATTGTAGGATGCAGTTTTCAAAGTTACTGCCACGTTATTGCATTCTACTTGCTTGAAATAATTGAGTCCTTCTCTGGGTGTAAAGTCATGTGGATGCAGAATAGAAGGAGTGGGGCCAGAATCGGCTCTGCTGCTGGAAGTGAGATTCATCTGAGATGGGGCATCAGAGCAGGCTACTCTCTGAGAATGGTCTTATTCTGATTAAGTAAAAAGAAGAAAGGCACAGTGCAGGCCACTGTCCCCTGAATAGAAAGTGTGTCCATTGGATGGACAAATACATAATTAAACCGGTCTCTTTGCACTTAGGAAAGCTGACCTTTATTAGGCACTTGCTCGGTGTGCCCAGCACCGGGCCAGACACTGCACATGTGTCATTCCATTTGTTCATCACACCTACTGCATGGGTTCGGTACATTTCAGAAATGGAGAGCTTAGGGAGTGGTGAGTTATCGATTGACACACAGCTGGAATGTGGTGGGAAATGAGTGGAAGCCACTTGTGTGTCCACACAGCCCAGGCTGGTGGCCTTGACAGACAGACATCCGAGAAGAAAGAGGTTCAAAGCCATGAGTGGCTGATAAACATCTGTTTCTTTTCACAATTCCAGGGCTTTTCAATTGAAATCCATATTTGAAGGAATGTTCCTAGTTGACTCAACCAAATGACATTTTTATGTGTTAGAAGTTAAATTATCAACTGTAAAATCAACTTATCACCTGGTGAGAGAAATTAGAATGTAGAGCGGCTGCTATTCAATTATGGTGAGTTGTGTTTAACGGCTCTGCTCTGGAAGGCTCTATTAATGTCTATTAATCTGCTTTTGCTACTGGACAACAGACAGCCTTTATTGCTGAACCCTACTGAGGGGATGCCAAATGCAGAGGCTGTAGTCAAAACCACTGGGTTGTTGCTAGTAATTCGCTCAACACCAAAAAACCTATGGGCTATTTTATTAAAATATTTCCCTCCTACTATGCCTAAATAAAAGCAGGACCTGATGGGGGAGAAGCAAGCAACACAAAGGTGTCCTATATTGAGACTGTTTGCTGGACCTGGAGCAAGAGGCTGCAAGGCTCGTCGACTCCTTTCCAAATGCCCAAGTCCCAGGCAGCTACTCTAAGTCCCACCCTGGGCTCGTGCCCAGCCTCAGCCTGTCAGTGGCAGAGTGGAAAGAGAAAGAAGACACACTCATCAGAAAGCGTTTGTTTATGGGGCAGTCCTTGAAGAGGGCCAAGAAAATCACTCTGAAAATGCAAAGTCCTGTCCTCCCAGAGTTCCCAAGAAGAGAGATGACGTCATCATGGAGCACACCAGCCCGTGATGTTTTGCTTGCTCACTATCATTTGTCCCTTGGAAACGCATTCTTCCGTGGGAACCACCACATTCTAGCCCCGAGCCAGGTCAATCAGTTGCCTTGAGGGGGGCCAGGCAGGCCAGAAGGATATGTATCCCAGGCTTTCTTTGGAGTTGCTAGAGAAGAGAATTACATTTTTATTTCTAGGATCTCCACTGAAGGGTGTGAGTCTAAGGCTGCCTGTAGGGAGAAGAATATACAAAAAGGAAAACAGGACAGATGGAAAAAGAGTCGATCTACATTTTACTTTTGAGCTCCTGGATCCAGCCATGCCTGAAAAGAATACTAACCTGAATCAGTATGTCAGTAATGTCAGTAAATATATTTCCTTCTTTTGTCCAACTCAATTTGAGTTGAATTTCTGTCCTTGCAACTCAATTCAGGTAGCCTACAGTTTCATCCCCCAGGGAATTAAAATCGAGTGCTGGTGGAAAGGAGTGAGGAAGAGCTGAGCAGGCCCTTGGCTCTCCACATGAATACAGTCAGTGCTCCAGCAGTACAGGTTCAGCACCAGGGGGTGCCAACAACTATTGATCAAAAATATTTGAAAAAAAAAAGTTTCCTGCACGATGAGGTGGTGGACACCTGCAATCCAGGCAGCTGGGAAGGCTGAGCAGGAGGATCACAAGTTCAAAGCCAGCTTCAGCAACTAAAGGAGGCCCTAAGCAACTTGGAGAGAACTTGTCTCAAAATAAACAAACAAACAGGTCTGGGGATGTGGCTCAGTGGTTAAGCACCCCTGGTTTCCATCCCTGGTACCAAAACAAACAAGCAACAAAAAGTTTCCTCTGTACTACATTGATACTGGTTTCTTTTATTCTTGCCACTGTTTCTTAAACAACGCAGCATAACAACCGTGAAAGCATCATATACATAGCACTACCTACTACAGGTAATCCAGAAAGGATTTAAAGGACTTGGGAGAATGGTCATAGGTTACATGAAATACTAGGCCATTTTTATGGGAGGGACTTGAGCATTGGCAGTTTTTTTAAAATAGATTTTTGGTTTCTTTTTTCTTTTCTGGCACTGGGGCTGGAACCCACGTATGTTTTACCACTGAGATCATCCCTCGCTCTTTTTATTTTTTGATCTGGGATAAGTTGCTTAAAGTCTCACTAAGTAGCCCAGGCTGGCCTTGAACTTTAGATCCTCCTGCCTCAGCCTCCCACATGGCTGGGATCACAAGTGTGCGCCACCATGGCCATCTGAGCATTGACAGTTTTGGTATCCTCAGGTGTCTCAGAACCATCTTTTGAGGACATGCAGGGACACCTGCACTGCTGGTTTTGGAGCAGGCAGTCTGCATGGAGGTCACTCCCTGGCAGTCTCAGCACCTGGGCCCAGGTTCCTTTCTGGCAGGCTGAGCTAACATCTGCAGGGCTCTCTCCAGTGCCACATTCCATTCCAGTCCCTGGAGAGTAGGTGACAACAGTGGCTGCTGCCATTCCAAAGTGGGGCTGGTCCTTCCTTCTACAGGTGTGGTCTCACATGCTTTGTTACAAGCAAAACCGTGCTTTCTGCCCTAGCTTGTGAAAGAGGTCTGGAAAAGAAAAGTGTGTCCTTACTTATTAGATAATCATTAATATTTTCATTTTCTTCTCTTTTGAAGCATCTCCATCTGTGTTGTCTCAAAAGTCTGACCTGAGGGATGTGATCACCATTTTTCTGCTGTGCCAAGGAAGAGTAGCTCTGCAGGCAAGGGATGTGCTTGTTAGGTTAGGTATCTTAAACTAGAATAACGTCACTGAATTGGGGTGACAGGAGGTAGAGTCCAGGGAATATTGGTTTGTAAGCCTCAGTGTCATAAACTCCAGGCTACAGACACATTTTACTTCTGCCCCCAAGCGTACGTGGAGCCTCAGGCGTGCATTCAGACTGCCCTGTGATTCCTGCTCGGTGATCCACCTGTGGGCGGGTCCTTGTCTCCAACAGGGGGGTCGTGCCTGTGGCTCCTGAATAGAGGGCTTTCCTGGCATGTGAGAGGCCCTGGGTTTCATATGCAGCACCAATTTTTTTTTAAAAAAGCGTTTTCAACATGGGCTGGCAGGGGTGCTTTCTCTCCGTCTCACGCTTACTCTGGGATGTCGGCAGTTGGTGGCCATAAAACCAGGCAGTCGAGGGGGGGCGTCTGGTGAGTTGTCTGGGTTATCTCGGGTAGACAGGTCTCCTTAGTTCCCTGCCCCGGTGAAAAGCTGGGCGCCCTCTGGAGCTCGGACGAGACTGGGCTTCCCAAAGGACCTGGGCTCCCGGCACCGCGAGGTTTTCAGGGCGGGTGGGAACGCGTCCAAGGTCCAGGGTCGCAGCTAGCCTCTCGCCACTCGCCGCAGCTGGGGGCTCACGGAGGCCAGCGCCTTCGCTCCCTGCGCTGCACTCTCGCCCCCGCCCTGCTGCC